CCCCAAAACCCCAAAACCCCAAAACCCCAAAACCCCAAAACCCCAAAACCCCACAGTGAGGTCGCATGATGAAATATATAATTTAAAGTGCTAAAAGAAAGAAATGGAGCCAATTTATACAGTATCTCAAAACATAGAGCAGATAAACCTCCTCTGAGACCTACTCACGACTTGTTTCTCTGACTCAAAAATCGAACTGAGTGGCATTAATGTCATTATGGATGAAAATACTATTAACTACTGGGAAAAGTTAGTGACCACCCTGAATAAATGTATCTTAGCCGAGGAAGTCTACACTAAAATCGATGTTCCCAAATTAGCCCAATTCGCTCAAATCTTGGCCCAGAAAGCGAAACAGCTCCAATCCTGGACTTTTGAGCACAAATGTGGGGCTATAAAAATCGAGCTTGATGATCAAGAAGCTGATGAATCCAAGACTACGGATCTGAAGAAAAAGATCAATGAGTTTTCTAAGAAGAATTTCTCCTTTATTCCAATGGTTTCAGTGCTCAGAAGGTAAGCCCAACATTTTTAAGCTTCTTAACCGATATTTAGGCTGCTTAAGAAAATTAACAAAGATACCGAAAAGAAGCAAATGGAGATCTTAGAAGAAAAATTAGCAAATACTGAATCCGAAGCTAATTTTCAGTCACAAGAGATGGCAAAAGAAGATTCATCCCAAAATTTGAGAAAGAAACCTGAAAGCAAAGGCGTGTCTGTGATGTTGTGAGATTGTAATGGAACTATACATGCTTTTAATAAAGTAACTCCAAAAATGTTTCACGTATCTGGAGAACTCCTGAAGGGTAAGAACTTCTTCAAATTGATGTCAGCGTATTCCCGAAGATTCTGTTACGAGACATATGGAAATTCGATTTTTAAGACCTTTAAGCAGTCCTCGAAGAGCCTGAGGTATAGCCTTCCTCATATGGATGATGTCGACTCAGAAAATTTCTTTGTCCTTACTTCTAAATTTACCCTGGTGAACCCCAAAAAGGGTAGCAAAATGAAATCAAATCAATTTATGATCAGAGTTTGTTCCAGACCATCTTCCAAAGAGAGCACTGAGAAAATGTATAGATCTTACACCCAGGCGAGAAAAGAAATCAGAGAAGAAGATGCCATGAATGCCCATTTCCTCGATGGTTCGCCTGCCTTTAATGCACCATCAATGCAATTACATTCAGGAATATTACCTCAGAATCATTTTTAAGATTAATTTGCTAAAATCTTCCGGGCGGGTTTAGAATAGTTCGAGAACTTTTACCAGAGTATAGCCTGTTACTAAACCTTACTAGGGCAACCTTCAATTAGTGTACCATCCCTCGGGGTTTTGGGGTTTTGGGGTTTTGGGGTTTTGGGG